GGCATTTGAAGCAGGCTCCGTGAAAGGACTGTTACACTGCAGCACGGCCGTCATAATTACATTGAAAACAAAGAAGATTTGACAGCTAAATTCATAATGGGGCAAGTTGGATTTCCGAAGTAGTGGCACCCTCAGGGGTCCGGCCTATACACGCTTGACAGCTAAGGGGCCTATACATGCTTGACAGCTAAGGGGATGCCCACTGCAAGCGTGAAACAAAGGCGTCCTGAAATGTCGTGGGATCCAAGCGGCTGGGGCAACGAAAAAGCGCGTGCCCAGCTGCTCGTTGAGCCAGGTGTGTTCTTCATCTCCTGCGGCTGGGCAACGCTTCATGCGCAAATTTGACCAACCCGTGCCAAGCTTTGTCCCCTGTCCAAGCCAACAGCGCAACCAAAAACTCGAAGCTGGGAATGCCGCCTGTTGCCTGGGACTGGACAAGGCTTCTCTGGGCATTCTGCTTTGGCCCCTTGGCCCCGAGCTCCTGCACACCGGCCTGTTACTGTCAAGAAGCCGAGGTCTGAAAAATTTGGATCGGGCCCTTCACTCTCCCTCGAAGCATGTTGCAAAGATCGTTGTCCACATTGTACCAAACAAATCTGTTCACTTCATGGGGACTCGCACAGCAGTCTTTCCGAGGCTGCATCCATTGCTCTCTTGCCCTTCGGCCCTACACGGTCAGCCAGTGGCTCACCGAAACACTGCACGCGCGAGCCGAGCTTTGCTCATCAAGCGCTCGGCGTGCAAGCTGGGCAACTTGCTTGAAGCGGTCCATGTACTCGAAGTCTTGGGCAGCGAGATGCGCGGACCTCGAGAACGGGCAGGGGGGGCAAAAAAACACCTGACCGGGGCCATGCCCAATTCGATCATGCTCCGAAATGGCTTGCCAGGGGGCAAACCCCAAAGCTTTGCTCAAACCAACTCCCGCGCGTTGCTTTCCGAGACGCGGTCACCGGTACAAGGCCTCGATGGTGTCCAAGGCCTCACGCCAGGCTCTGGGCATTTGCTGCGGCGGCTCTTCCAGGTCCTGGCACTGCCGCAAAGGCTGCAGGCCTTCGCCGCTGTTTGGCAGGTCCTGCCAACTTCACGGCCGCTGGCTCTCTTGCGGCTGCCGTTGGGAGTTGAATGGGAGTTGAACCTAGACATGAGGGCTGCTGACGTTTCTCGCTGCTGTTGCAGCTCATATTGAGTTTGTTGGAGCCGTCGCTCTCACAAAGCTGTTGGCAGGTGCTAGTGGGGTGATGTGGGATGACATTGTGGAGCAGTAGCAAACGCAGATGGATCTACGAGCTTTGGCCCGGGCGAGAGGGCAAACATGATTCACACACGATGTGAATGCAAACCTGAAAGCAGGCAGCGTCCTTCACGTAGCGCGTGCCAGGTCTCAGCATTGCCGTGTCGCTCTTGAACATGGAGCCGATGTAGGGCATTACCTTACGTGCGCAGGAGTCGGCCAAGCACCTGCAAAATTCTGCAAACTTGTGGCGACATTCTTAGCAGACCTGCCATGGCCAGCCGACATCGCCAGAACCAACAGGTGATGACTGCTCGGCCCTCGGCACATGCGGGGTTTCTTTTCTGGCAAACTGGTCTAGTTCTTCTCCCCTGACACCTGTTGCCCCTTCCTTTGCGGCACAGCTGATGGATCATCCTGCTTAGGGCAGGGCACCAAGGGCGGGTTGAAGGCTAGGCCGCGCATGATCTGCGGGATCTGTGCGCTCCACTCTGCAGCACGCTCGTTGTACCTGATCTCAGCCAGCCCCACCCGCAAAAGTCAAGCAAACCAAGTGGGTAGCAAACCCAACTGCCTGCAAGGTAACGGCGGCAAACAGAGGATTGTTTATATTTAACACTTAGCAATTCAGTCCTTTGCAGTTGCAGTGGTCAACTGTCAGATTGACTCCTACACTTGAGTCATGGTCAAGACCTGGTGTTACAATTGGCCACCCAGAACCATGTAAGGAATTGAAACGGCAGCTGCACCCATTCAAAGTGGGGATTATCCCTTACTAACCTTCATCTACCCGGGTTTTGATCGTGGCTCACTTGAACTCTACATGTCCAAGGCTTGAATCATACCCTTGGCCCGTATCCTAGACTTGGAGTTACAAACGAGCAGCTGACCTGGCAGGTGGTGGTGCCTCGCACTGCCAAACTCATGTCACTCGTATCAACTTGATTAGTCACGTGCGATGCGATGCGACTGAAATGCCTGATCCATTTATGTTTTCTTTACAGGCTCACTTCAGCCATGGCCAGCTGGCCCATTGGCCAGCTCACAAAACACAGACCTGTTGTTTGGCATTCCGGAGTGTCAAAGGCATCAACATACGGACCCCCACTGTTCAGCTGCAGATGCTGGCCATCCATGCCACAGCCCATAGAGATGGAAAAGAAGTCGTCCAAAGGGATCCTGAGCAAAAGCAGCCGAGCAGCGAACAGCATAACACAGTATGGTCTCGCTACTTGCGACACCGACTGTTTGTTTCAATCCATTTGCCAGCTTCAACAGGCTTTGCGTGCCTTGCATTTTTCCCTGAGACCCCGAAAGGACATGCTCCAAGTCTCATATTCTGGTGTGCCTCCGTCTCGATGAGCGCCTTGGCCGCCTCCAGTTGTAGGATGTAGCCCACTGTCCACAGGGTATAGCCCGGCTCCACCACATGCTCCGAGACCTGGCTGATGTCATTCTCCATGGGGCTGCGCCCGACGTACCTGAGGCAACCCCCCTCCACCTGCATGTTTTCTATGCTTTCAAGGGATGGGGGCCCAGAAGGCTAGCCCAACAACCACCATCTGAGTCAAGCCAAGCAAAGTCAATACCGCCCAGGGTTGTGGGAATGGCCTTCTCTGATATGAATGGAAGGCTTTCCAACCTGGGCTGGAGTCCCGACCGGCAGGACCTTGCGGCCTATGAGAAACACTTGTGTATGCTCATCTAGTCATCGGTATCATCTCAGAAGGGCATTTGGAATCGGTGTGTTGCTGTCTGGCCCGATGCCTGGCCAAACTTTTGATAACGCCATCCAAGGGGTGGGTGGCGAGAACCCAAGCGTTCCTGCCTTATTGTTCTAGGTTCCTCGGCGTCTCTGGGCGGGAGGGGGGCGCTTTGGGGCCCCAAACCCCCCCCTCTTCAGAATGCCGTAGTGTAAGCTTCAGCTTCAACCAAACATGCGGGTGCCAGGACGAGAGCCGACGTCACGAGAGTGTCCGGTTTTGAGTCTGTTGAGGGTTCTTCCCATGCGGGCCAGTGGCATGAGGTTCCAGTCGAAATCCTCAACCTCTTGCAGGAACTGTCTCAAGCGAGACTTGAAGTCCTCTTGGAGGTCGAAATCGTCCTGAGCTGCCCGCGGCTTGATAAAAGTGGCTGGGCCCCTTGAGGACCAGCCTTCAAAAGTGTAAGAAAAAGCACTGCTCACACTGCAACCCGAGCATCTTCCAGAATCAGAGCGGTCGGAATGTTTTGTTCGACCATGCGGTGCCACACAGCGTAGTGGCTCAAGAAGCAGCCCACCTGTGAGTCGCGAGCAAGATAATTTGCCGATCTTGCGAATGCTGTCGCCGTGCGTGCTTTGGGGCGGGTGCATGCGTTTACCTATGCAACAAACACTACAAGAACAAAAACAACCGAACAGTAACAACCAAAGAAACAAAGAAACAAACAAACAAACAAACAAACAAACAAACAAACAAACAAACAAACAAACAAACAAACAAACAAACACACAAACATACAAACATACATTAATACATTACATACACACAAACACATATACATACATGCATTGCATTGCATTACACTACATTACATTACATTAGGTTAAATTACATTCCATTCCATTCCACTACATTCCATTCCATTACATTCATTACACTACATTAAATTACAATACAATACACTACATTATTACATTACACATTAACATACACTACGTTACATTACATTACATGACATTACATTAATTACATTGCATTACATTACATTACATTACATTACATTAGATTACATTAGATTACATTACATTACATACTTACAAGCATGCACACAGGCACACACCCACGCACCTACCCACCCACCCACCCACCCACCCACCCACCCACCCACCCACGCATGCACGCACGCACGCACTCACGCACGCACGCCCTCACTTACTCACTCACTCGCGAACCCATCCACCCCACCCACGCACGCACGCACGCACGCACTCACGCACTCACGCACTCACGCACTCATTCACTCACTCACTCACTCACTCACTCACTCACTCACTCACTCACTCACTCACTCACTCACTCACTCACTCACTCAAACACGCATTCATGCATTCATGCAAACGCGCACTCACGCACTCACTTACTCACTCCCTCGCTCACTCACTCGCTCGCTCGCTGACTCACTCAGCTGTTTTGTCTGTGTTCAGGTTTGCTTGCGCTGACGGTCGAAATGTCCCTCCCGCCCGCCGCCCGGACCTATCTAGCGTAATTGGCAGTTGCTTGGTCCTGCTTGGTGAGCTTTCAGTAGGGCTGAGATCTTGTCGCACGCGCACACCCACTCACACACACACACACACACAATCACACACGCGCGCGCGCACACATGCCTGCTTCAAATTGACATGTGAACCATGCTGAGACGACACGCATAAGTCTTTCAGTCACCTCGCCAGTGGTGTAAGGCATGTTGTGGTTGCTGAAGCCGCAGTTGTAGCCCGGCAGAATTCGAACTCCCAAACATTCCAGGTCATCTTGGTAGAGCACGCCATCGCCGTCCACGGCATTAACCAACGTCGCATTCCTGGGATACAAAATCGTGTCACGTTGCCTGTAACAAGTCTATCCGCCGAGCATGCCGCTGAAGAATCTAACTGACGTGCTGTGACACTTGTATGACGCCTCATACCCTCCCCGCAAAACAGTTCCATCTTCCAACCCTTTGAGCACTCGGGGCTGCTTGCAACTGCAAAAAGATCGCCCACCTGAATTGCCCCCATGGGGCGGTCCCTTCAAACGGAAAGTGACCCAAACCAGGCCTCCCCGAACGTCAGGTTCCATGTGAATTGGGAGGGCAACGCAACGAGGCGACATGCGCTCCGAGTCGCAATTGATTTTCCTCCAGCTGCCGGAGCACTCGCTGGCGCTTCTCCGGACGCCGGGCCAGGGTCACCACGAAGATGTTCTCCCCGGGATCCCTCGGACCTTTCGGCTCCAATGAACAACAGGGATCCTTACATACACCTGAAGATTGCCTTGTAAATTGGTGGTTTCCCTGCATTTTGGTGGAAAAAGCCATGCTTCAAATGGGCAAAATGTATCTTTTAAGGAGCCCTGAACAACTTTTGCACCAAGAGCAAATAGAAAGGATGCCTTGCGAATAGATTCAAACCACTCCGTCCGACAAAATGTCCAGAACAAATATCCACATTTGTCAGGGCTGAGTCAGGCATTGACGTGGCCACAAGATTGTGGCAGTTGGTCCTGCGCCTGAATCCTCCCTTTCTAGGTGGTTTGGATCGGCGTGTCAAGCTGCTTGTTCTGCTTAGGCAGGGGTCGAAGTGGCACCAATCCCCGGCAATTGAGGGAAATAATGCAGCGATGGTCAAATGGTGGTTCCCAACCAGCAAAAGTCCAATCTGGATTCTAAGAGTTCGCTGGCTTGATGCCGCCTTCAAGGTAAACGTGTAGCGCGACGTGCAAACGCCTTACTTGGGACATCACAGGGGGCAGAGCGACCAAAGGTTCCACTGAAACGAACAGTAAAGTCTACCGCGGAACTCCTGAAAACCCTAGCCACTGGTTTTCCAAAACCGGGCAGAACAGCCGCACGACTCCCAAGCATATGAAAGTCTCCTTGCATGTTGACCCCTGAAATCTTTAGACGCAGGGGAAATGCAACGCCCCCAATCGCATGGCCCGCCTCCAAAGGACTGGGCCTTGCAATGCTGCACCCTCTGCAGGTCCTCCGGCAGCAGGCGGGGCCAGCGGCAAAGGCGCCGCCGCGCCTCCTCCGGTGCCCGGTTCGGTTGATCCAAGTATCAGCGGCTCATGAAAGGATGCTGGAACAAAGTGGAGAAATAAATGAAATACAGTTGCCACTGGCTGCTAGCGGATGCCAAAGCTTGCTCACTCTCTCTTTCTTGATGCCAAAGCCTAAGTACCCTGCTTGCTCTCCGATCTCTCGTGCTGTGCTCCGTCCTCTCGCATCTGCGTCTTCTGCTGGTCGGTCAGGTGGTCGTCCTTGCTGTAGCCTGGCCGCAGGGCTGGCTGATCAGCTTTCAAAAATTCGAAGGGTCACACCCCCTGGCTCCGGATGCTGAAGGGCTGCCATCCGGTAGGGGGAACTGCTTGATCTGAGGAAGATTGCATGGGACCTCAATGCCCCGGTCAAAACTGTCTAGTTTGGCGCCATTCGCCATCCACTAAGGCAGAAAATACAAGCACCACATATTGAGGCTTCTTCACTTGCAACAAGCAGGCAAATGCGCCCCAAAAGGCAGTGCCAACTGGGTGACTCTCAAGGCCTGCCTTTCTTCTCGACCCACTCCATGTTTTCCATCGTGTACCTGAGCTGAACAGCAAGTGACTCGGGCTACTTGAAAGCTCCCAGCCAGGTGCAATGGGACCTGCTGCCAGGCTCGGAATGGACAAACACGAAGGCGCAACAATGATGTTTCATGCACGCATCGTGGAGAAAAAAAGAAAAGAACAAAACGATAGTTGAGCGCATTCATACGGACGCTGCGCAATCCGCCGTATCGATGTCCAACGCGAGGTGCTGATTTCTGGCCAGGTGGCTGCAGCGTGCCATCGTGATATTTCTGGTGCAGCCCCGTGGTGGGGTCCTCCACATTGTAACTCCGCAACCCCGGGGCCTTCGTCGCAAACCGCCGCAGCCGGGTTTTTGGCAAGACAGGGGCCATACGCAGGGGCCATAGCCTCAGAAAGACGAAGCAGTCATCATAGGAACGACGTGCATCCCTTGCCAACAATGAGCCAACCAAAACCAATAGCGTTCTTCGAATTCTGGGGGGGGAGGGGGGGGGGGGGGTTGGGGGAAAAATGGTTATAAGGGGGGCCCTGGGGTAGGGTATTTTCAGTTCAAGGTTTCAGGGGCAGGGATGAAATTAAACAAGCAAACCATTTTGCCCAAAACACCAAGGGGGATTGTGGGGAATTTTCCTAAATTTTCTCAACATTTTTTTACAATTTTTTCATTATGAAACAGTCTAAGATTTCATCATTTTCAAGGTTCGGGTTTCAGACAATTTTAAGGCTTTCTGGGGGATAGGAGGGTTTCTCTTGTTTAGGGTTGAGGGTTGAAACATCTGGGGTTGTTTAGGGTTAAACATTTTCGGGAACTGTCGACCGTCCGTGCTTCGTCCTCATGAACATCAAGCTCTATTTTGTCGGGATGCCAAGAGTGTTCACTGCAGTCAAGTGAAGCTTTCTGTCAAGTGAAGCTTTCTGTCAAGTGAAGCTTTCTGTCAAGTGAAGCTTTCTGTCAAGTGAAGACGCTGATTAGTTGCATTTGCTTGTATCTCAAGCTGTTGAGTGAGACAAGTCTTTGACTGGACCTCATTAGAACCTTTGTGAGCAATGACATCACAGCAGAGCGTGATGACTTCCGGTGCTTCGTCCTCTGGTGGATACAATGCTGACATCACAGCAGAGGACATCACAGCCCAAACCATTGAGGACTTCACCACCAAGATGAAGACGAACAAGTTGAACATCACGGAGATTAAAAGCTTTGAGGAGAAGCTGGAGACCAAACTCAAGCTCATCAACAAAGAGCAGGAGGAGCTCAAGAAACTTAAAAGCGATTTCAAGACGTTGGTCAATGAGTTGGAAGCCCCCTCCAAAGCAGAAGCCAGACAGGCAAAAATCAAGGCGAGAGCAGAGGAAACCAAGCGGACCAAGCAGGAGGACAGAAACAGCTACCTCAACCTCGTCATCAAGTACAACAACACAGACCATGAGGTGTCTGTCAAGAAAGGCAGTACCACGGGCAATCTACGCAATAAGTTGGTGGAACGCTTCAACCTCAAAGGCAAGCAGCGGCTCATCATGGACTTCAACGGAACCGACCTGTACATCTCCAACAACGGCAAGTCTTACGGGTTGAAGCGTTTGAACACTTTGGGACTAAAAAACGGGGACATCATCAAAGTCTCATTGCCGGGCGACAAGACCACTGCGGACGACAAGACCACTGCGGACGACAAGACCACTGCAGAGGACGATGACATTGCGGAGGGCGGTGAGAGTGAGAGTGAGACAAGTGACACGGAGACAGAGAACTAAGTTCCATCTTCATAGATGATGCCAGCCAAGTCTCACGAAGGCATTCCCTCCAAACCATATGTTCTATCTTCATTACTTTACAGTTGTGTGTGTCGGATTGCTTTGTGAGACTTCTATTCACGAAGTTGCTTGAGCATTTCCGTGTGGCATCCATTCACCATCAAACCAGTTGCGATTGAAACAACATGCCTGCCAGTGCTGTTGCTCAGGTGTGTCAGTCATTGATGCAATTATCTCACTCATTGACCTTGCTTTAATCTTTGTATGTCAGTAGGCGTTTTGCACCATCAAGCGGTTTAGGTTGAAATCAGTAGTTCTCTTTGTGCCTCACTTCAATGCCGAAGCAAGTCCAGAAGCCGTTTCTGAAAAAGACCGAGGCGACTAAGGCGATGATGAATAAATCATGGAAGATTGTGTGCGACCGCTTCAAGGAAATGAAGGAAGTTCAAACAGAAGACGGAGACGACCACACAGCAGTTCCAGCAGCTTTATCACCATTGCTCACTCAAATCAACCAGAAAATCACCACTGCCAAGAACCGCATGGAGAGCAATGACTTCAACCTGACCGACCTTCTCAATGAACTCCCCGACGATAAGGTGAAGGGCATCCTCCTGCTTTTTGAGAACCCTGAGGAGAACTTCAATTACAAGGAAAACAAGTTTGTCAGCGAGGATATGTTGGTTTCTCTTGCTTGTCTTTTGATTGGTGAGATGGAGCAGTTGGAACAATGTATCAAGCAAAGCAAACGCGCGCGTGCTGACATCCTAAGAACTTTTCTTGAAGCATACGGCAAGCAGTTTTCAAAGATGCGTGGAACAGACCTTATCTACAACCATCATCCATTTGTAGAGGGCGTGAAGAACCTGATTCAATATCGACGTGGATTGAGAAGGGCAAGTGCTATGGCAAGGCCTGATGGTGAAGGTGAAGAAATACCTGAACCTTCTGATGAGCGTCGGTGTGCCATTATGTAGATTTAGAATTCAGTAATTAAATCAAGTCTGTTTTTTAACCCTGTTTTATCGGGGTAGTAGGGGTGAAGTCTTGGGGAACAGAGACTTCTTGAATGACGGCATTGTCATTGCTACATTTGAGCCCGTCCCTTCCCCACGAGTTTTGAAAACTCGTGGGGAACACCCACGGATGTTGAAATCCCGTGGGAAACACCCACGGGATCCCGTGGGAAACACCCACGGAAACTCGTGGGAAAAAACTACTGGTCTTGTTTTGTGTGAAAAGGGGTGTCAATGTTAGCTTCAGCTTGAACAGTTTGTGTCAGTCCTTGCCCTCATTTGCTTTGCTCCGAGGTTATGAAGTCATGCTGTCCTTCGCCTACATGACTGTCTTCTTCAAGGTGTCGGCGGCTTCCCCCTTAACCTTTTTTTGGAGGTTTCCCACCTAAACTTTTCGGGATGCCCACCTAAATATTAATTTTTGGGGACTGACAACCTAAATATTTGTTTGGGGATGCCCACCTAAATATATTTTGGGTTTTCCCACCTAAACTTTTCGGGATGCCCACCTAAATATTAATTTTTGGGGACTGACCACCTATCAAGCAGGGTATATATAATATATACATCAAAGTTCCAGTTTCAGATGTTGTATTGAAACTGGAACTTTGGTGAGATACATATTCAACGACAGTTTCAAACTCATCCCCAAACCCATTTGTTTTTCAATGTTGAACCCAACCCCAATCCCATAACCACCAAACACAAACAAAAATACTTAAAGAGAAAATACCTTATATAGTATAGATATATGGCAGGGGATTTCAGTTCGGGTTCAGTAATTGACTATTTGTTATCCAATAATGAAGCAACCATAAAAACAGGGAAGAATAACAAACCATTGAAAAAACTAATCATCAACAACAAAGAATACTATTACAACAAAGACAAACCATTATCCTCATCACTTCAAAACAAACTCAATCAAGTCAGCAACACACAAGGTTTCAAACGATTTCATCTTCTAAAAAAAGCATCAAACACAATGAGAGGCATTAAAACAATCCAGAAATACAGATTAAAAATAGGAGCAAAAACATCAGAGACATTTTCAGCATTGACAGGATATGCCAACACATATTCAATATCCAACATACCATTCAAGGGATACAAAGGATTAACATATCTTTTATGGCAAGAAAAGAAACTAACAGAGTTTTTACAACAAACAAAATCAATGAAACTACTGATTGATGTTGAGGTTATTTTTGATAAACTTAGACAGCAAGATGATGATGATGGAGAAGACGAACCATTTGAGGAAAATATACAAATAAAACACAATGTGAGAAGCAGGAGATACAACATTCTAAATGTAGGAGACTTGAAAAAAGCATTGGAAAATGTACCTAAAGATATTGAACTACAAATTGAAAACTCACCTTTGAAACATTCAGGATTGAAGATTAACAAGATTAACAAAATCACCATCCACTACGATAAATACAACCCGAACAGGGCAGGTAAATATATGGAACTACCAGAATGGATTTCAAAGAAAAAAGCATGTATCAACATTCAAAATGATGATGAATTATGTTTTAAATATTGTGTTTTATGTAAATTTTATGAAGTCTTCAAGAAAGACCATCCGCAACATATGAGACACTACAAGAAATTAATGACTACTGAAAGTCTAATTAAATGGGATGGTGTGAATTTTCCAGCATCCAATGATGACATAGACCATTTTGAAGAAATCAATAACAAATCTATATCAGTTAATGTGTATGTTGAAGATGTGAACCAAACCATCAGAGCAGACAGAATAACAAAAATTGAAAGACCATCTTGTCATATCAATCTATTACGAATTGAAAAAGATGATAATGAACATTATGTTTTAATAAAAGATTATAATAGATTAATGGGTAGTCAAACCAACAATCACAAAACAAAGATATTTCATTGTATTTACTGTCAGCACGGTTTTCAATCAGAAAAGCTTTTAAATGCTCACATATCAAAAGGTTGTATGGCAAATGACATTCAACAAACAAAAATGCCAGAAGAAGGAACAACAATGAAGTTTGAAAAGCATTTTAAGAAACTGAAAGCGCCCTTTGTTATTTACGGTGATTTTGAATGTTTAACAACAGAAACATCAGAAGGCATCAAAGGGACTTATCAGAACCATAAACCCAGCGGTTATATGCTTAACCTTGTTAATGCTTACAGTGGAGAAATGAAACCATTTTTATATAGAGGTGATGATTGTATGGATAAATTTTGTGATACATTAAACAATATTAGAGACGATGTAATGAAACAAATGAAAAATCCAAAAGATATGATTATGTCAGATTTAGATGAAATTAAACATTTAGAAGCTAAAAAGTGTTTCTTATGCAATGATAATTTTGACAACAGAGTAGAAGCGAAAAAGAAAGTTGCTGACCATTGCCACTTCACAGGATTATACAGAGGCGCGGCACATATGAAATGCAATATAGACTATTGCTTTAAAAAGTATCATATACCAGTATTCTTTCACAATCTTAAAAACTATGATGCTCATCTCATAATTTCTAATCTTGAAAAGTTAAACACAAAGAAAGAACAAATATCAGTAATAGCACAGAACAGTGAGAAGTTTATTACATTTTCATTAAACAG